TACCATCTATCTTTTGGTGGTCTTATTTTTTGTATCATTTTGGACAGGGTCTCTCACTGGCCTGGGACTTGTGGTTTAGGCTAAACTGGCTGACCAGCAAACCTCAGGAATCTTCCTGTCTCCACTTCCTGGCGCTTGGATTTCAAGTGTACTGTGCTTATTTTGGCTCTTTATGTGGTTTCTGAGGATCAAACATAGGTCCTTATGCAAACTTAGGCAACAAGTACTAGCCATTATGCAGCCCCAAAGTGAACTCTTTCCCAATGCTGGCATTTAAAATAATGAGGATGGGACTGGAGAAATGGCTTGGTCATGAAGAATATGTACGGATCAGATTCCATCTTCTGGTACCTGTGGACAATGGGCATACAGTTGGAGCACTAATATACATACACACGACATGCTCGTACACATAAAACACAATAAATTTTAAAATAAACAGCGAAAAATTAAGTATGAGGGCTTTCTAAAAATATATACTCTTTAGTTTCCATTGCATATGTTTACATGGACTTTGTGTATTTGTTGTTACTTCTTTTGTTTTTTCTTTTATTTTGCCACAGACTTTTTCTTTTCTCTTTTCCTTTCTTTCTTTCTTTTTTTTTTTTTTTTTTTTGAGACAGGGTCTCTGTGTAGCTTTTTTGCATCTTTCCTGGAACTCACTCTGTAGCCCAGGCTGGCCTTGAACTCAAAGAGATCCACCTTTTTCTGCCTCACAGACTTTGTTTTGCATTATATAGTTCAATTAAATACCATAAGCTGATTCTAGGGACTGCCATCAAAGTCAAAGGTCTGAGTCTTACAGATCTTTTCATTCTTCTTAAACATTTGCCATTGGAGATAATAATGTGAGAGGAGATGTAAGGGATTTTATTTTACAGAGTATTCAAGAAGCCTACATTTCATTTATAATTTCTGTAGTTACCATGGAATAATGGTTTGACTTGAATAATGGTTTGATTTTTTTTTAATTTAATTTATTTAAAATGTTTTCTATTCATTTTATATAACATCCACAGATCTTCCTCTCCTCCCTCTTCCCGCACCCCAGCCTTTTCCCCCAACCTACCCCGCAGTCTCACCTCTTCCAAGGCAAGGTCTCTCATAGGGAGTCAGCAGAGCCTGGTACATTCAGTTGAGTCAGAACCAAGACCCACCTCCCTGCATCAAGGCAGCATTAGGTGTTCCACCATAGACACTGGACTCCATAAAGCCAGCTCATGCACCAGGGACAGATCCCGATCCCATTGCCTGGGGGCCCCCCTAAAGAGTTCAAGCTAAACAACTGTCTCGTGTGTCCCAAGGTCCTAATCCAGTGCCATGGGGGTTCTATAGCTTTCGGTCCACAGTTTATGTGTGTCCACTAGTTTGGCTGGCCGTCTCTGTGTATTTTTTCATCATTACCTTGATGCCCCTTGCTCATAGAATCTCTCCTCTCTTTCATCGATTGGGCTCCTGGAGCTTATCCTGGTGCCCAGCGGTGGATCTCTGCATCTGTTTTCATAAGTCTCTGGATTAAGGCTCTGTGATGACTGTTAGGGTATTCATCCATGCGATCCCCTGAGTAGGCCGGTTCAGGCACCCTCTAGAGTATTGTTGGTAGACTAAAGTGGAATCATCTTTGTGGATTCCTGGGAACTTCCCTAGCACTTTGTTTCTGCATATTCCTATGATGTCTTCATTTGTCATGATCTCTATTTCCTTATTCTCCCACTCAGTTTCTGTTCCAGTTCAAAACTTCCATTCCCCTATGTTCTCGTCCCCCATCCCTTGCCCTCCATTACCCCTTCTCACCCCCAGTTTGCTCATGTAGATCTCATCTATTTCTCCTTTGCTGGGCAATCATGCATCCCTCATAGGGTCCTCCCTGCTGGGTAGCCTCCCTGGAGCTGTGGGTTGCAGTCTGATTGTCCTTTGCTTTACATCCACTTATGAGTGAGTACATACCATGTTTGTCTTTCTGAGTCTGGGTTACCTCACTCAGGATGATATTTTCTAGTTCTATCCATTTGCCTGCAAATTTCATGCTGTCATTGTTTTTCTCTGCTGAGTAGTACTCCATTGTGTATGTGTACCACATTTTCTTAATCCCTTCTTCAGTTGACGGGCATCAACATTGTTTCTAGATTCTGACTGTTAGGAATAATGCTATGAACATAGTTGAGCATGTATCCTTGTGGTATGATTGAGCATCCCTTGGGTATATGCCCAAGACTGGTATAGCTGGGTCTTGAGGTAGATCGATTCCCAATTCTTCTGAGAAAACTGCCATAGCCATACTGATTTCCAAAGTGGCTGTACAAGTTTGCACTCCCACCAATAGAGGAGGAGTGTTCCCCTTGCTCCACATCCTCTCCAACATAGACTGTCATCAGTGTTTTTGATCATAGCCATTCTGACAGGTGTAAGATGGCATCTCAGAGTCGTTTTTATTTGCATTTCCCTGATGACTAAGGGTGTTGAGCAATTCCTTAAATGTCTTTCAGCCATTTAAGATTCTTCTTTTGAAAATTCTGTTTAGCTCTTTAGCCCATTTTTTAATTGGATTGTTCAGTATTTTGATGTCTAGTTTCTTGAGTTCTTTATATACTTTGGAGATCAGCCCTGTGTCAGATGTGGGGTTGGTGAAGGTCTTTTCCCATTCTATAGGCTGTAGTTTTGTCTTATTGACTGTGTCTTTGCCCTACAAAAGCTTCTCAGTTTCAAGAGGTCCCATTTATTAATTGTTGTTCTCAGTGTCTGTGCTACTGGTGTTATATTTAGGAAGTGATCTCCTGTGCCAATGCGTTCAAGAGTACTTCCTACTTTCTCTTCTATCAAGTTCAGTGTAACTGGATTTATGTTGAGGTCTTTGATCCACTTGGACTTGAGTTTTATGCATGGTGACAGATATGGATCTATTTGCAATCTTTTACATGTTGACATCCAGTTATGCCAGCACCATTTGTAGGAGATACTTTTGTTTTCCCATTGTATCGTTTTGGCTTCTTTGTCAAAAATCAGGTGTTCATATGTGTGTGGATTAATGTCAGGGTCTTCAATTCGATTCCATTGGTCTGTATGTCGGTTTTTATGCCAGTACCAAGCTGTTTTTATTACTATAGCTCTATAGTAGAGCTTAAAGTCAGGGATGGTGATGCCGCCAGAGGTTGATTTATTGCACAGGATTCTTTTAGCTATTCTGGGTTTTTTGTCTGTAGTGAATTGTGTTGGGATTTTGATGGGGATTGCATTGAATCTGTAGATTGCTTTTGGTAAGATTGCCATTTTTACTGTGTTAGTCCTGCCTATCCATGAGCATGGGAGATCTTACTGTTTTCTGATATCTTCTTCAATTTCTTTCTTCAGAGACTTAAAGTTTTTTTTTTTTTTTTTTTTTTTTTTTTTTTTTTTTTTTTTTTTTTTTTTTTTTTTTAAATTTTTTTTTTTTTTTTTTTTTTTTTTTTTTTTTTTTTAAGAGATTTATTTATTATGTATACAGTGTTCTGTTTGCATGTATCCCTGCAGGCCAGAAGAGGGCACCAGATCTCATTACAGATGGTTGTGAGCCACCATGTGGTTGCTGGGAATTGAACTCAGGACCTCCGGAAGAACAGCCAGTGCTCTTAGCCTCTGAGCCATCTCTCCAGCCCGAGACTTAAAGTTTTTATCATACAGGCCGTTCACTTGCTTAGTTAGTGTTACCCCAAGACATTTTACATTACTTGTGGTTATTGGTAGGGGATGATGTTTCTTTGATTTCTTTCTCAGCCTGTTTATCATTTGTATATAGGAGGGCTATTGATTTTTTTTTTTTTAAATCTTGTATCCTGCCATATTACCGAAGGAGTTTATCCGCTGGGGTCACTTATGTATATTATCATATAATCTGCAAATAGGGAAAGTTTGACTTCTTCCTTTTCAATTTCTATCCTTTTGATCTCCTTTTGTTGTCTTATTACTCTAGCTAGAAATTCAAGTACTATATTGAATAAATATGGGGAGAGTAGACAGCCTTGTCTTGTTCCTGTTTTTAGTGGAATCACTTTGAGTTTCTCTTCATTTAATTTGATGGTGGCTGTTGGCTTGCTGTAAATCGCCTTTATTATGATTATGTATGTTCCTTGTATTTCTGATCTCTCCAGAACCTTCATCATGTAGGGGTGTTGGATTTTGTCAAATGCTTTTTCAGCATCTAATGAGATGATCATGTAGTTTTTTCTTTCAGTTTGTTTATATGGTGTATTACATTGACAGATTTTTGTATGTTGAATTATCCTTGCATCCCTGGGATTAAGCCTACTTTGTCATAGTGGATTATTTTTTTGATGTTCTTGGATTTGGTTTGCTTGTTGAGTATTTTTGTATCAATGCTCATGAGGGAGTTTGGTAATGTTCCTTCTGTTTCTAATGTGTGGAACAATTTGAAGAGTATTGGAATTAACTCTTCTTTGAAAATCTGATAGAATTCTGAACTGAAACCATCTGGTCCTGGGCTTCTTTTGGTTGGGAGACTTTTAATGACCGTTTCTGTTTCCCAAGAATCCCTTTTCTTCCAACACAAATCTGTCCCTCATGGCAGCTAATGCGGGCTGGGAAGGCGTAGGGGGGCTGGGAAGGCGTAGGGGGGTTGGGAAGAGTGAAGAATGTTCCGGGCTGAGGTTAGGCACCAGCATGTAGCTAAGTTGCTGGAGACCAAACTTCACCCTTCTGCCTGTAACAAGGCTGCTATCTGGTTCACTGCCTGCTTTGCCTTCCATTCAGTGCCGCTACTCACTCTCTTCTTCTCCGTTCTGTAGGACTTAGATTTACTTCCATGTATTGTAGCTCGTGACTTGCGGTTTCCAGGGGGCATGGTTTGATGTTTTTATTTCACTTTCTTTTAATTATTAGATTTATTGGGGTCTGGGGAGAA